TTTTTAGGGTCACGCTCTTCGAGCTGAATTGCTAGCTCTAGCTGCCGATCTTCCATCTTTCTTTGCCCAAGTTACTGATGACATAATACATCTCAAAGAAGCACGCGATTACTACCTCCATTTTCGAGATTATATCCACCAGTGAGCAGGACTTTTCCTCTGTTTATGAGATCTGTGAGACTCTCTTTTCTAATACAGAGGCAAGAAACTGCCATCAGAAATCCTTCCACTTCTTTCGCTTTTATTGGAAAAAGGAGCGGCGCTCACCGCATTTGAGTTCAAGTATGGAACTGCACCCTCACGGATCGAGGCGCCATCATTTGACTTGTTGTTAAAAGAGGATGAGGTAAGATATTCTTTTTTCATCTTTTTGAGGAATGAATACCGTTGCAGAAGAAGTCAGACGGTGATGAAATTGACTTTGGAGATGATGATATTGATTTTGGTGACGATATAGAAGTCGACACTTCTGCGATTGTTGCCGATATCGATGTCGTGGCCGATACCAGCGGTCAGTTTGTCTAATTATCTCTTTCAGATTGCTTTTGTCGAATGTGGCTGAAAATTTGCTTTTTACAACTTTTTCTTTCGAAAATTCCAGCTTTGTCCAGTTAGACGTTGCATTTTGGTATCTCAGGAGCTATTGGAGAATCTGTTGCCCGCGGTGAAGACGCTCTTGGTGTGGTCGAAAATCCGGACACTCAGAAGATTATCAAGAATGAGCTGAGCGAGGTTCTTATGTTTTTTTTTTCTTTTTTAATTTTTCTTTCTTTTTCAAGTGTCTTTGTTTTTCGGTATCTCTGTGTAGCGGTGTCGCATTGAATGTTGAGTATCTTATTAAACAAGGACTTTTATTGAATGAGAGCTATTTATTTCAGCTGTTAGCTTTCCTGACTATGCGAAAGGAAGATGAAGAGCGGGAGACATCCTCAGATATGTTCATCAGAGGTTTTGAAAAAAGGCCTGCTGAAGTGGGCAAGGTACGTAGAACCTTGCACTTGTGCCAATTAATTGTCTTATGGTTAGTTGAATTTTTTCCATTTTAGGTGTCCCTTGCTCAGCTTGGAGACTGGATCAGCAAGATAAACTCGATTCTTAGCCAATTATCGGATCAACAGAAAATCCACCTTTTCCGGATTAGATCTTCGCCGCAGTATGTTTCTCTGGAAGGAGCGTACTACTTGTCATAGTAATCTCTTTCAGATTTGTTGAAAAGCTTGTTGAAGAAATTGAAGCAAAGCGAGGACTAGAGGGTCGATATAAAAAGTACTTACTTCGTTAGTAAATCAGATTTTGCAAAGTCACTCACTATTATTACAGAATGGCTGCGCTGATGGTTGAGAAACAAAAAGAGGCACAAGAGCAGACTGCTAAAGCTGGTCAAGAGTTGCAGACTGTTATCGCTTCTACGAAACAGCTCCAGAAGAAGGTAAGTTAGTAAAGGCCAAATACTCTTTACATTCATTTATGACTGCTGAAGGAAGATTAACCTAGCGCATGATGCAATTAATCCTTACTTTTCAGCTTGAAGAGGAAATCTCGAAAAAGTATGACGGTCGAAGGGTCAACATTATGGGAGGTATAACTGCAGCTCTTGCCACCCGCTGATCACACAGTGATGATTTTTGCAAGATTTCTTGCATGTTTGTTCTATGCCGATTTCTTTTTGTTTCTGGTGGTCCCTTTCCATCCTTACAGAGATTTATTTATTGTTGGATAATACCTGTCTGTATATCACTTTTTGAGAAATCTTTTCTCGTTCATGATTATGATCAGAAGATGTAAACATTTATGAAATTCGCAATTTAAACCTTGGATAATCTATATGAACGAAACAAAGGAAGTTGATATATTTAAG